TGTTTCGATCCATTGTCATGTTAGAAGATCAATTTTCTATCAAATCTCAACTGGATAACAAAGGGTTAAAGATTTTTCAAGAGAGACCAACATTTTAGGGAGTTCTCCAATACCAGCTGCTACATTAAACCAACTTCTCATCACTATGCTTCACTGTGAGAATGGGAACTATTTTTTCTTTTAAAAACATCATACACTGTTCCCCCCCCCAACCCCTCTCCAAATGTAATGTACTTGGCTATGCCCTAAATGTTTTTTGTGCCCTTTACTAAATTACAATATTTCAGTAATTATTCAACTGATTCAAAAAGCTTTTGGCAAATACTAAATGAGCCTTTTCATGCATTTTCTTCAATAGTAACTTTTCATGCAACCTATTTTTGAAATCCTTGTCAGTTTAATATCTTATGAATTGTTGAGAAGTATACATCTATTCTAGTGTTTTTTTGAATCTGTCTGCAGACCCCTTTTACCTTGGATTTCAGGTGGACAAAGTTCCATTATGATTTTAATCATCTCTTGAGCTGATATTTTTCTTTCTATTTATGAAAGACAGTGGAATGGGAATATGTTAATGCTTCTTGGAAATTTTCTTAACTTTGGCAGATGAAAAGATTTCAATCATTTTCTTTTTCATGTCTGCAAACTGACCTTTGCCTTTCAGCATGATTTCAAAATTGAATTACTGTTTCATTGGTAAAATAAATATATTTATGTCTTCTAAGCTCACAGTGGGCATTACAACATAGAATCAAGAGAATGACACAGTTTTGATTGTTGTGAGGAAGTGCCAGTTATGAAAGCTAATTTTATTTTTTCACTTTGGTCTATGTGAGTGGGTGTCAAATACTTATGTTAATTGTAGAAATAAAATATTAGTATTAAAGTATTAATTTGAAAGTGGAAATAGTGAAGGGTTTTTATTCCTGTCATAAACATTGAATGAATTTAGGTCCAGTAATCTCATAAAAAAACCAAAACAAAATTGAGTTGATTCTTTCTCTTCTACATAGATTTGGAATCAAAGATTTAAGACTTTATGTAGATTCTATGGGGATTTAACAATTCTTTAATTAAAAGTTGTAAACTAATATCAAGAGGCATAAACCAACCAACATAAATTGTTGTGTATTTCATGAAATTTAAAAAGATTTCTGAAAATGTCTCCTCTAATTAGTCTTATGCCAATATTCTACACAGGAAGAGCAAGAAAATGACAGGAAAAAAAAAAGATGAGAAATGTTATTCACCTTCTCACTGGTCAGGTACTTTGCAAAATATGTCTGGGCTTCAGGCATATAGGATTTGTCCAACTTCTTGCGAGAAGTTTTCATATCATCCAACTTGTAGCTGCTGAAGGCAGTCAAAACTTCATCAGCATTCTGTAAATAGAATGTAGATTTTTTTTTTTTTTTTTAAATTAGTAATGTGGCATTACTGTGGCAGGGGTTGTGATGGAAAACATTAAAATTCCTGCAGGGCCAGAACTGATAACAGGACATGCTGGAAACCAATTTTTATCAGGAAAAGTTATTTTGACACAGGGTTTCTACAAGTCAAACATGACATTTTCAGCTTTTACATAAATAATTACAGTAACTTTTGAAATTCAGTCACTTTATTTTATAGGATAAAAAAAAACATTTAGCTAAACTGACTCCACTCATCTTTCTGACTATATAGTCATATCTTATTCTTGCTTGTTTGTCTTCTTGTTTAACTTCACATTAACCTCTGTAGGTCAGCTTTGTGCCAAATTCTTTATTTAGTATACTTATGATCTTTAAGAAAGTTAGACATATCTCATGTTGAAATACTGTCATCACAAGTAATGTAATGTGTTTAGAATAAAAATCGATCATGTTGTTTTCCCTTTGGATGGATTTCATGCAAGCTAAGTAATCAGCGTTAAAACGTTATTTTTCTACTTTGTATTGCTGGCACTAAATAACTAATGCAGCAGCAAGAATCTTTTGCATATAAAGTGCTAAATACATGGACTCAATGAAAATATTAAAAGCTCAGGTTATTCTTAAATTCTTTTATAGACTGTAATCCTATTTGAAAAAACAAAAAGGTTGCAAGAAATTAAAGTGTTTTTAATAAAAAAAACAATGTCCAAATGTAAAAGTATTAAAAAAAAAAAAAAAGAAGCAGCATGACATGTTTCTTAAAAACTTAATTGTTTCAATACTCTTCAATCTTTATAAGCATTTGGCCAGTCAATCTGATAAAAGCTATTTTATACACAAAATATAAATAAACCATGGATCAAGTGATGAAATTAAATTCAATTTTTATTGAATATGTTTTATTGCAATCAAGGAAATCAGAAGATGGATTCATTAAGAAGATATAATTCAAAGAAACATATACGAACAGAAACAAATGTCATCCAGGAGAGTTTTTCATAACATTGAACAGGTTTGCGAAAAAAATCTTGCAATGCCCAGAATTTCCTGTATAAGTTGTAGTCAATTGGAACCATACTGTAAAAAGAAAATTAAAATAATTAAAAATGAAATCAAAAATTACCAAGTTTAGGATTCATGTTACGCTTGAACTATCAGACATTAAATTAAGGGGGAGGGCATTATTTTGTTGGTGGATTAAAAGCCATAATAGCTTTGCAATGAGCCTCATTTGAAATGATGTACTCTTTTTAAGAGGACTAATTGCTTAGTAACTTTAGTAATATTACCTTCTGTACTAAACTACAAAAGGTTTACTTTCTTGAAGAAATGTACAGATTAACTGATTATCATGCAGTGGAATAAGACAAATACTAAGTGAATAAAATTCTTGTTAACTATTGTTAAAATAGTTTCAAAATATAAGTGAATAAAAATGGATACAAATTTAGGTTAGATCAGAGAATATATATATATATATATAGAAACTTAAAAATAATGCCAGTAAATGTTGGTCTGGTTTGTTTAATGGCATATCAATTTCTTATGGATCATTTAATGCCAAAATTTTATTTTCGTGGGAGCTTTTGTAATTTTTTTCCCCCAATAATGTATCGCTGGTAATCTTTTTTTAAACAATGAAAATGTATTGCTGGTAATTTTTTTCTATTTTTCTATTTTCATGTTTTGACCCCAGTTTGGATGTTTACTATTCACCCATAGCTGGGACCCTAACAAGTGCTACCACCTTAGGTCGGGGTGGACCTGGGAACAGCAGCAATTAAGGAGGTGGTTCCACACTCCTCAAAACCTTCTGATCAGAGGCCTAGCTGCCGGATGTATTTCATTGTCATACCCAGGACGAGTAAGATTTGGAAATCAGAAAAAATTAACTGAAAAATTAACTACAGGCTTTTCTCTCTATGATGTTTCAATACTGCAAGATTCTTTTAGCAATTAACAGCAGAAATGTTTTTAAGATTAACATTTTTGACTATCTGATATTATCAAAACACAGAGAAAGAAATTGTTTATAAACACTAAATCTTTAAATGAAATTGAAAAGAATTTACCTGTTTGCCTCTTCCATTTCTCCATCTTCAAACTCCATCCTGTCATTCTGTAAAAGTTTTTGATTGACTTTAGGCAAAAGAGACAACTTCTAAAAAAAAAAAAGTGTCTTACCATTTATAAATTTTTGAAACTTTCAACTTCTAAATGAAGTACTAATATTATATATATATATATATGTATGTGTGTGTGTGTGTGTCTGTGTGTGTATATGTGTAAAACTTTTTCAGATAGATTATCTATAAAAGGACAATATGAAAAAGACAAAAGGAAAACTTATCTTAGCCAGTGCATTATGTCATTTGATAATGTCCCTCATAGGGCAAAACATGTTGACTAAGTTTTACTTTTGTCATATGTATGTATGTATATGTAAGCGAAAGAGGGAGATATATTAGGTTGATATCATTTCCATAATTGTAACCTATCAAAATAGAAGTTATAGTCTTCCAAACAGAAGAGAATTAATTTTATTAGGCCAACTGTAAATTCAGTTATACATTTGTTGAATATAATGATGCAAAATACAAACCGTGTTTCAATTCAAACAAGGTATATATATATATTGTTCCAAATACATTAGTAGCAATTTTACCTTGCGTAATCGAGATTCTTCAGGTTTTGTATTATATAAAGTGACATTATCCAGGTTGAATTGGCTCATCAGATTTAATGCTGAAAGAAAGAAAAAAGTTTATATAGATAGATCGAGAGAGAGAGAGAGAGAGAGATAAAGACACACAGTCAGAAATATAGAGTGAGAGTGATAGGTATAGATAGGATGATGAAAAAAATATCAAAAGATGAAAAAACAACATCAATAATAATAATTAAAAATAACATTTATTTTATATTTTTAAACCTTTAGTTCAAATAGAAGCATGATGAGAAAAGATGTTAAAAATTGAAATTTTGAAACATGTCCTTTCTCAATGAGTAATAAAATAATGTTGGGCATTTGGGAACAGGTTTGAGTATATATTTTAACAGTATATCAACTCTTGGGAGTTATTTAATGTCAAATCATATCTCAGAGTTATTATTCAATTTTTTCCTTCAATGTTCTTGTTACAGTCTGATATAATGGAATATGCATACACCGGTGTTCCCCCTCACTGGAATATAATTGGCTGGTGTCCATCATAAATACAGACAGATGTGTAGGTACGACAGAGTTAAGTCTGTGATGATGCCCATTGGACTACACCATTGGCTATCCTATTGGTCTACACCTATTACCTGTGGCTATGACGAGTACCAGTCGATTACTGCTACCATGTACTACTTGGTTACAGTAGCAAAACCACTTAGCTACTTCGATCAAATATATCCCTTTCCGGGACATATCACAGTCTAATTTCTTTTGTTAGATTTTTATTTATCTTATATTAGTTTGGAGAGGATAAATTCTTTGAAGAAATCTATAATTTTGGCAGTGTTTCTGTTTTGGAACAATATTTTACGGTTTGGAGATGGTTAGTATTTATTCCATATTTTACTGTAATTTTTGCATTCTATTAATATATGTTTTGCCATTAACCTGTGGTTGCAATAGTTGCATTTGGGTATTTCTTGTCTTCTAAGCTGGTGGATTAGATTAATCTTGTATATCCAATTTGGATTCAGGTCAGCACTGTTTCTTCTCTTCAGCTACTTATTGACTATTTTTATTTTTGAATTGACTTTTGGTTGGTGATTATATAGTTTATTAAAGTCTGCTTTTTCATTCTCCAATATACTAACATGACTTGGTATCCAAGAGTATGCTTTTTGGTACTTTATTACATTTTGATATTTTTTTTATTCTATTATATATGGCTGGATGGATGGTTCGATTCTTTTTCCTTTATAGCTATGAGGTTTGATAGAGAGTTTGTAAATACAATATATTTTTAGATCAAATAGATTAATTATGAAATCAAATGGCATCTTGTAATTCTGCAGTAAAACAGGTTTTGTTGGGTAATCTTATTTGTTTATGGTTTTGTCCTCTTACGGCTGCTGTTCATGTTTTATCTTCATTTTTGGTTCCATCTGTAGATATTTGTTCTGCATTTGTTTTTTAGTTCACCAAATGTGTTTTGGTATTCAATTTCATTGGTGGATCTTTTATTTTTGTTTTTTAAACTGTTTTATTAAGAAATCCACTATTGGATCTGTGATTATCCAAGCTAGTGCTATGCTGTTGGAATTTCTATTTATTTGCGAAAGAGATTTCTCAATACGTATTCCAAAAGGAGGCTATTGTTAATGGTTTCATGTTATATAAGTGGTTATACTGTGAATTATATAATTTTTTTATGTTGCGTTATTGGGATTATTTTGCAGTTTTATAGCATACTTGACGGAGAGTTTTTTCTCCCATCTTAAATGTAGGGGTAGTTCATTAGCATAAGAGAGGTACAGAATGCATTCAGACATAACCTTAGCCCTTTAGTCTGGATGAGTTGTAGCTTTTTAATGTATGATTTTCACACTGCACCATAGACTATATACAGTTATTGTATAATTTTGTTTTACTATCTGCTCCCCAATTCACTTTTGATTGAACTTTTAAGAGATTTAGGCTCTTTATTCATTTCTGCCTCATGTAATTAATATGGGTTTTTAAGTTTAGCTTATTATTGAGGAAGAGTCCCAACTATTTGTTTTGTTGGGCTACTTGTATAAGGTTTTTTTTATTTATTTTTAATTGAGGATCAGAGTGTAGTGATCATTGGTTACAAACCTGCATGCATACTGTCTTAATTTTAGAAAACTGTTTTCATTAGCCCATTTCTCTATTTTATGTATGAGATTTTGTAGTTTTCATTCTGCTTTTGACATATTTGGAGATGAATAGCCAATGGAGAAATCATCTACAAAGACTTTTCGATTCCTGTGTTTATTACACCAATTATGTTGTAATTTTCAGTATGAACAGAGTAACTGATAGTATGCTTCCTTGTGGTATTCCAATTTCTTGATAGTAGGACTTAGATATTGTTGTTCCACTGTGTACTATAAAAACCCTTTCTGACAAAAAGTTTTTGATAAATCTACCTTTTAACCCATGTTGGATATGTCTTTTAGGATACCATATTTCCAAGTAGTGCCATACACTTTTTGAAGGTCAAAAAGACAGTTATATGGTATTCTTGTATGACACCACCCCATATGAATGATTCGATATGGCCTGCTTTGTCGGTGGTGTTTCTGTTATGCTGGAAGCAGTTTTGATATGGTGTTAGAATACCATGTTTTTTTTTTTTTTAAATATCCATTTTTTTTTTTTTTTTTTTTTGCATATACAACTTTTTTTAATGAAATAAGGCAGTAACTGGGGGATGGATTTGAAGAATATTTGTCAGGTTTGGAAATTGGAAGAAATATAGCTTCATTGAAATTACCTGTCTGCTGTATTGTCATTGTAGATACTCAGTAGTAATTGAAGACATATTTCTGGTAAGATGCTTCAAGAACTGGTAGCGTTTTTTTGTCTGATACTATGACTATGTCATGGCTTTTGTCAAAAGAATTTTTCAATTCCATCATGTTGAATGGAATGTTGTAATTCTTGTTGCCGTCCGATTCAAAATTCAGTTTTTGTTTTCTCTGCAATATGCTTAAATTTGTTAAATGTGCTGGAGTAATGTCTTGTTGAGTTATTTTCAAACTCCTCAGCTAGAACATTTACTGTAACTTTTCTCTGTAGACTTCTTCATTTGTTTTTTTTTTTTTAAATACATATATGCAGTTAACGTTTTTCCTGATTATATCCCATGGCATCTAATTTTGTGATGTATTCTTTCCAAGATTCTCTTATACACTTTTTGATACTTTGATGGCTGACATGGAACTAGAGGCTGGGTGAAGATAGGTGTAAGATTTATCATTTAACAGACAAATCAAAAGTTCTTAATAGCTTTTCTATGATATGTCCTCTAGAGTTAATGTTTTTCTTACAGCTCCAAAGTCCATTGTGAGTATTGTAAACACCAACAAATAAAAATGTAGTAAATAGTTTGTTGTTTTGGTTTATAACTGAACATAATATACAGTGAGCATATAGTCAAGGTATGGTGGAGAGTAGTTTTAACCGTTATGGATTGAAGGTTCATGTTTAAGTAGAGTATTTCATGAGGAGGGTTGTTTTTTTTTTTTTTTTTTTTTTTTAATTAATATTAGGGAGATCTTTTTGTTGGTCTGTTATAAGTTCCATACCCTTTAAAAGGATACACATTGTTATGCACTCTTTCAAAAGTGTTTCATGAAGGCAAATTACACTTGGGTTGTAATCTGGAAGAAGTCATTTTACTTTCTTGTAGCTTTTATATAATTCCTCTACAATTCCATTGTAAGATTCTTGCTTTTCTTTGTCATGTTATCTGGATTTACACTGCACTAAGGGTGTTGTATTTATTTCAGTTTCCATTTGTTTGAGTTTATCAAACTTTTCCTTTGTTTCTGTTTGATTCTTTTGAACTGGTTTTTGATTTTTGTCTTTTTCTTGAGCAAGATCTAAGTTTTTTTTCTTATTGGTTTGTGTTTAATTTTGCTCCTTTTCTTCAGTTATTGGGATATTGTTTAAATTTGGCAGTGGTATATATTTTCATATTTGTTATTCTGGTTTTTAAGGCTTTAATGAGGTTTTGCAATTCATTTATTAGTGATGTTAATTATTCTTCTGTTTTGTTTTTTAAGTTAGTTTCTTTATTTTCATTTAAATTTTGAGCTGTTTTAATCATTTCTGTGTAATCGATAAGTTTTCTCGCCTCTTAGAATGTAATGTTCTGAGTGATTTTTGTTATTTCTTTTTCTTAGGTCTTGCATTCTTTTTGCATCTGCACTATGATCTCAATTAGACTTACTACATTTTGCTTTCTTTTTACATTCTTTCAACATGGTTTGGCTAGTTTTTCCACATCTTACAAATATTGGCTTTCTTATACAGTACTCCTTTAAATGACCATACATTTAAGTCAGGGCACCTTTTTGAATTTATGATGTATTTATACATCTTGGCTATTAAATACCCAATTTGTATTTCAGTTGGTGGTATGGGTGTATTAAAGGTTAGCACACACACACATGTGTGTGTGTGTGTGTGTGTGTGTGTTAGTATTTATTATTTGGCCCGTTTTTTAATTGTTATTCTTTTAACGTCGATTACATTTTGTTTTTTTAACTCCATTTTTATTTCTTTTGGTGCAAAAAGATAAGTCTTTCTTAGGAACTACATCTCACGAGATATTTAGCTTTTCACATGGCTATGGTTTTGCTGAGGTTTTGGAAGTTCTTCATCTTCAGCAATATATGTCTGCATGTTTTTTTGTTTGATACTTCTATTAGAATGGATATATTTTAGAGTTTTAACTGATTTAAGCTTAGCCATTGAGGATATAACCCTCTGTATTATAAAGGGTGAGATTTGGTTAGCAAGGCTTCCTCATTTTCTTTTTTTTGCTAGGGAAGTTGTATTTCATTTATTTACGTTTCTATATAAATAATTGGTATTAATGCTTAGGATATATATATATATATATATATATATATATATATATATGAATGAAGAAATATAATTTTAAGGTATGCTCTATTTATGGGATAAAGTGCTCAATATCAGAAATAGAGTGTATGTAAATATATAAGTGGACATTGAAGTCAACACTCAGAGGCGTCAGACTGTTTCCTACTAGATGCAATCAACAGGCCACATGCGTTGTTTTTTTTCTTGACTATTTATATATGCAGGTGAGTGGTGCATTGCGGGTAGTCTATTTTAATGGTTATTTTGGCGGGAGTGGTCTGTTAATTTGTTGATTATTTACGTTATTTATTTGGATTAATTTATTTTACTTATTTTTGCATATTTATTTTTTATTCTTTTCAGTAACACAGTAAAAATTTGCTTTCATGTCTGCATTTTGAGATGAGTTCTGATCATTTATTTAGTAGTTTGTTTAGGACTGAGAAGGTAATTATAGCTAATTTTTCCTCCAAGCAGACTTTGCAGTTTGGGATTGATTGTTGTAGGCTGATGTTCTTTTCCTTATTTTCCATGACATTTTTGGAGTAATTTGGTTTTGTTTTTAATTTCCCTGATATACTTGGAAAGCATTGTAATTTTTGCATATTTACTATTTGTGAAAGATGTTTTGTGTGCGTAGTTTCTTTGTTTCCAGGGTCCTTCAGTTACTCCTATGTACTTTTTTCTTTGTTATCTGATGATTTTACCATGGCTTGGTATATTACATTGTTTTGTAAACAATTACCATTTAAGGGACATTTGTTCTTTATTTTGCAGTTACACATGGGGTTTAATTCATTCGGGCGCTTTGTTGACAGTTTTCCCGTTATGCTTTTTTATTAATAATGTCATGTTCTTGGTGCAACTATAGATGATTTTTACTGTGTTTTTTTTTTTTTTTTTTTTTTTTTTAATATTTTGTGGAGAGTGCTTGATTCAGAGAAGTGTTTGCCTAAAAGTTTGATGAATATTTTTTCTACGTTTGTTTTTATGTTCTTGTTGAACCATATGATGTTCAACTCACTGTACAACAAAGATGTAAAGACATACATAGAGGAAAAAAATTTTTTTTACTACGTTACTTAAAAATCAAAAACTGAAAAGAATAAATAAAAATAAACAAGCAAAAACAAGTAAAATAAATTAATCGAAATAAAGTAAATAACATACAAATTAACAAACAACTCCTGCCGAAATAACCATTGGAATAGACTACCCATAATACATTACTGACCTGCATATATAAAGTTGAGAAACAAAAACGCATGTGGCCTGATGATTGCGTTTAGCATGAAACAGTTTGTTGCCTCTGAGTGTTGACCTGAATGTTCACTTGCATGCATATATATATATATATATATATAACTTAGCTAGACTATGTGTGAAAAGTTTTTCATTTTTGCCAAATTTCTTGAAAAGTATTAAAAAAGAAAACTTTTGAATTTCAAATTAATTCAAAAAGTCAGAGGTTGTAGAATATCAATAAGAATCAATTTCTTAAACACCAACTCACCAGATTTTTCAGATAAAGGAAACAAGCGGGATAAGAATAGCTGTATTCGTCCACAAAAGACAGTATTTTGTGATTTTGACAGTCTTCGCAACAAATCTACAAATATAAATATTAAAAATAAACGAAAAGCAAGTATTTTTATTGACAAATAACATTGATTATGATGACTAGAATTATTAGCAATGATACATTGCAATGGAACATTTTCAAAAAAGAAATCAAACATTATTAGCATAGAATATATCATGGAAGAATAAGATTGTTGTATTACTGTATAAAAATATAAAGCTTTTTCTGCATAAAATCAAAGTAACTATTGAAACCAAAAAATATGTACAGTAAAAGTCAAAACGATTCTTTACATTCTGACATGAATATTAATTAGCAATTTCTCAGAGATAAAAATATTTTCATAACTAATTTTTGTTGTCTAGCATTCAGAGGAACTTACTTTACTCAGGCAATTTGTCAGTATCAAAATACATTAATTTTCTATTATTTTATATGGGGGTTCTGTTTATCATATAAAGACAACGTCAAACTGATCCCTGACTTTTTGACATGCATGTAATTACTTTCCTTTTTGTGGGGACCAGTCTATTTAAGTATTGATGTTTTAAAATGAAATGTATTATTACTATGTGATGTGCGTGTATATACATATGATATTCATTCCATTTTCAGTAGGCATAAATGCTGCAAGATTGAAATAAACTCATAACATTTGTTGAAATTCCTTTCATCTACCTCTTTTCTTTGAAAATAGGTCTGCATAGGGCTCTAGTCAAATTTTTTTGTTTGGAAAATCCCCATGACCACCTTATTAAGAAAAACGTAATATTTTTTGTTCTTAATAAAAAAAAAAATTTTTTTGAAGTTGAAAGCAAAAATTGCAGTGGATGTGGCTTTTTTTTTTTTTTTTAACGGGCCATATGGCATTTTGCCTGAGTGCCAAAGTCTAAACTCATTACTATACATAATCAACAGTAAACATGGAAAAAATACTTCTAAGATTCTAGATATCTACCTTTAGCCACAAATCTATTGACTCAAATAATTGTCGACAAATTCAAAAAACTTGGAATTAAAACCTCCCCAATCACATCTACCATAAATGACATAAGTCAAAAAATAAGAATGTTATGTAGGATTTATGATTCAAATGCTGGTATAATCCTCTATAGTAAATGTGATATATTTATATTGGTGAAACAAAAGGAAGTTCAAAGAAAAAAAAAAAAAAAACAATAACCACATATCCAGGAACACAAAAAGAGCTATAAAAATCAGGGATACATAAAATTCTTTAATCTCCCATCTACAAACTGTCTTTTTGATTTTAAGAATTCCAGAATGGTTAAATTATTTCATCATAAATTATTTTGAAGATTTATTGAAGTAACTATGATATCACAATTCAATTTGATTAATCAAAAAATAGTTTGTTCAAATTATCACCTTTTCTTCATATTTAATGAAAATGACATAGATACTGGTTAAATATTTTAATAACAATTCTAATTAAATTCTTTTATTTTCTTACATCAATCATCATATTTTACAATTTATTTTAAGATATTCCTCTGGACAAATCTCATTGATATAATTAAAGATATTTTTAAATTTCATTAACTGTTAAAACTTTTATTTCATGGCATTTCTAAGTAGAATGATTGCCATAGTAACAATTTTTCCCTGAGATTTTTATTTTAGTTGTTTTGCGGATGCTTATGCAGAACAAAATGTTGACAACAGAATAAAAAAACCCATTAAACATGTTAAAATGCTTTCACAAATTCCATCTTTCATCAAATATAGAAGCAATTATCATCATCATTTATATAGAAGCAATTATCATCATCATCATTTACACTGCTGTTGTCCAATAAATCAATATAAAATGGTCTGGATTTACCATTGCACATTCTAAGTAAATAATTCTTGCCAGCATCATAAAATGTGTCCTGCAAAAGAAGAATGCGCATATTAAATAATCACTTCTGAGAATTGAAAATAAACAGTCACTTCAACTGTAACAATTACAATAATTTTGGATAAATGTAATAATTATTTTTAAGATAGTTTAGTATTAAAAACATTAATTTATAGCCAATGGATAGAAGATCTAGAAATTATACTTACCTTTTACTTAAAAAAACAAAACAAAATTACATCACGAATGAACACATTCAGGTATTTACAGATATTTAAACTAAAAGAAATTTTCTATTTTAAAAAAAATCTCTTCCAAACTTGGTATATCTTTCCAAATTTATTTTATGTACCTTTAGAGTGAGCAAATGTTAAGTTTAGCCATTTAATCAATATTTTAATGCCTATTTAATTTTGCCTAAAGCATTTTCATTATTAATTGATTAAAATCAAAATTTTTTCATCCTCTTTCTTTCTCATTATAATGATCAGTTCAATTGACATTCTACAGTTGTTAAGTCAGCCACAGGCCAATGAGATCTGAACTTTTGGCCTTTAGAATCTGACACAGACAATATGCTTTCCAAATTTGGCCTTGGAAATCAATCAGCAGGCAAAATTCAAATTTAATATCTCATCACATTCTACCTTTATCTGTTTCTCTCCATAACATGATTGTTTGTCTAAATGTAGTAATAATATTAGGTTATTACATTACTTTTTTTTCTGATGTTCTGAGTATGATCTTGAAAAATAATCTTTCATAATATTTTTTCCTTCTTAGTAACTCTGGTCATCCTGTGAAACTATTGTCTAACGTCATTGGATTTTTTTTTTTATTTCAGATTAGACACACTTGTTTAAGATGTAATGTTAAATAGACAAGAATGAGCATGTAAGACATCATCTTCTCTTTACTTTGAATCAACATCACAAAAGCTGTTAAAGACATTTGTACTTTTGTATGGAGATGAATTCATGACTGACAGAATGGCACAGAAATGGTTTTCCCCATTTCAAGTAAGGGAAGTTTGAACTCACAGATTCTCCATATTCTAGCTGACCTGTTTTGTTTGATGAGAACAAATGTGCTGATTAAAAAAGAATTGCACCAGACCACAAGGGAATTGGCTCAGATAGCAAACTCATGATTCTGTTGCCCATCATCTTCACTCAATGGGTAAAGTCCAGAAACATGGTGGATGGGTGCCACACAAATTGACAGAGAGAAACAAACTCCAATGCTCCTTCATTGCCGCAAGTTTACTTGCTAGACACCCAGTCACTCATGGATACAAAGAAAGATTCTTTTACCAAAGAAAGATTATCACCATGGATGAAAACTGGTATCTTTACATGAAGCAAAGAAAGAAATGGGTGAGTACCAATAAGCAGGCAACATCATGAATCAAGCCAGAGTTGCATCCACGCTAAAAAAATGAATATATACAGACAAAGAATATCTTGGAAATGGTTATATTACAAACAAAAAAAAAAAAAAAAAAAAAAAAAAAAAAAAAAGAAAAAGAAAGTGAAGAGCTATTTAATATTTAAAATATAAACACCAGCCCTTTCAGCTGCTGTGGTTTCCACTAATAATATATATAAGTATATAAATCTAACATGCTTCACTTTTATTAAAGCTTTCTCAGAGACTGAGAGAAAACTGACAAAAAGACAGAAAACACTGGTACTTTCAATTATGTTTGGGTCAGTTCTCATTGGTCAGACACATGTCATACGCATTAAAACTGAGGATAATTCTATGTGTACGTAGGCTTGTGAAGGTTCTTGTATGTCTAAGTGGGCATCGTATATCTCGTTTATGTTCGAAAACATAAATGTCTCGGTAATTTTAACAATGCTTTAGTTGTACACACAACTAAAGCAGATCATAATTTCAATTTCGATTCTGTGAAAGTATTAAAATATTTTCATAATAAAAATCTCAGGAGGATTTATGAAGCAGGTATAATATCCATCTCACGCACGGTGAATACTAGACCTGGTTTCTTTAATATTTCCCCTTTTTAGCTTAGATTGATGCTCGACAAGCATACACATAAGAATTTTAGAACCTAATAGAATTCTTTTTTTCATTTTCTTTTTCATTTCAAAATAATCACAAACTTTTTAGGAATACGTTATATGAAAGCGTCGCCCATGTGACGACGGCGTGACCATGTTAGATGGAAGGCTGATCATTTTAAAAATTTTCAGTTATCTGTTTTGAATAAGACTTGTGTTTTTATGTCCATCGTCTTTGTTAAATTGAACTGAATTGTATTTTAATGAATATTGTCTTGAAAAAGGTTTATTAAACCAAAACGTCAGACGTCGACATTTCTTTCATTTTAACTACATTTAAGGATTTTTGTTTGTTTTTTTTCAAAATTTTTCTTCATTCTGTCAGATTTATATCCATTTACACTTTATATATATATATATATATATATATATATATATATATATATATATATATATATATATATTAGTTTTAATCCTTTCAAGTTCATAAATTAAAAATAGATAAAAATGTACATAATACGCCATCAAATAACTCTAAAGATATCAAACTACTATACTGTAATCAAATACATTCTAACTATAAGCAGGAAGAAAATATTCTAAAGCCTCATAAACACTAATATACCACCACTGATCAAAGTCAAAAAATAAAATTAATTACATACTATACTGAATTTAATACAACCAACCTAGTTCCCCAAGGCAATTCTTCTGTCAACTAGCATCTTACAAAAGACCAACATCATATATCAATTTAAATGTCCTTTGAGAGATTGCATCTCTGATAAAAATGTTAATATGTTGGTTTGGTTTTACAACAACGATGATGAAGCTTACATTTTACTTGAACGATCATAGTTCAATCTCGGAACATTCAATGGAACACTCACGTCCACATTCACAGTTTAGACAGATATTAGTCAAAAATACATCAGTACTTCATCAAGATAGGCAAAAAGTTAAAATTCTAGAAACCCATTATATAAGAGAATTGCAGCCCAAAATAAAGTTAAATACAAGTATAGCAAAAAAATTCTTAATTGTTTATAGCAGCAGCATGTTATTTAAAAAATAATAAATTAAAATACTACAATTAAAAAATCTTTTTAAAATTCTTCTTAAAGAAATCTTTTTTTAAAAAAAAAAATCACATAAGTTAATTCCCTTGCATAGAGTTAAAAAATATTTTGAATTTACAGTGTTAACGCATAACACATCCATAGATATGCAACCACTGACAATGATCTCAGATGACATAGATTGAAAGTACTTGGAAAAATAAAAATTATTTGAAAGAAAATTTTGGAATTTTTCTTGATCAATTTCCTACAGCTACCAAGAAATTAATTCATGGACTTGCAAGGATTAAAACTAAAATAAATAGACATAATACGTCTAAATGATTTAACCACACATGCCTGAATGAAAATATACTGCCTATATATATATGTGTGTGTGTGTGTGTGTGTACTTACTGATTTCCAAGTGCTGACTTTCTCTTCAACCAAATTAAAAATGTCTTCACACTGTTCCAATGTAATCATGTCAAATACATCAGAGAGAATAACAAATGGAGTAGAAGCAGAACATACATCTATAAGTGAAACACAAAAAAAAAAAAAAAAAATTATATAGGATTGAAAAATAAAGTCAGGCAAAGTTAAAGAATAGTACTCATTTAGGATTAAAGAAAGTGTTTAAAAAAATAAAATTACAAAAATCCTAACAAAATATCTTCATTAAGCATTGTGCCTTTGGCACAGAAATCTAAAAGACTTATTGTCTAAACTGTATTATTAAAGCGAGGAGACATAATTTCAACAGAAGTAACAACTGATTGAACTCGGAACTGATTGAGAGCTTGGATGGAAGTGCTGTCTATGGTTCTAGATTTGTTACAATAAAAAAACACTAACAATTTTCCATTCGTGTATTTTCATTTCCAATTAATTAAATGTTCTTTAGAACAGGAGTAGAAGTTTATCCCTTGTTTCTTGTTCAGGATTGAGTTTCAGATTCCTTCTCTGTCACTCCCAGTAGCACCCTTGCATCTCAAAAGTGTGATATGGGTGTGAATAGTGACATTCGGTCCTTTTTTTTTTACACCACTCCTTCAGTTTCTGTGCGCACATATCAGCATTGGCTGCGTGTGCGTCGAGACACTCATCCAGCTCTTGATAGTCCAATACTGGCCGCACTTTATTTTTGTTTTTCTGCACCACCGCCATCAACAGAATTAAACCTTTTGGAGTACCGAGTTCCGTTTCAGGATAAGGTTGCAACCAACTGTTATCAAGCCAGGTCTGCAGCTCATGGTCGTATTCCTCCTTGACTCCCGTTGGTATTGGGTACTTGGGCATCTTATTTCTCAAACTCTCCGGTGATCGACCATCAGACCACTTCCATGATGCGACCCATATCTTGCAGTTTGGGTCAAATTTGGCACAGAAATCAGGTTCTTCTATTTTAATAGCGGTGTAACAGACTATCCCACACTTGGGAAACCATACATCGCCACACTGTGTTATTTGGAGTCTGCCCAACTTTTTAATGGTGTCGAATCCAAGCAAAAGTCAAAACCCAGTAGCTCTCCATCCACTACCAAGACATCAATTTTGAGGGCGTTGACCACGTCAAGCTTAATACTTTCAACTTTGCAACATTTGAGAGTATTTCCGTTTACGGTGAGTACATTCACCTCTGTCACCTGCCAGGATTGACAGGCTGACTTACTCACGAGTGTCTGTGAGCAGCCAGTGTCCACCAGTGCCACTCTCTTAATTCCGTTTATGTAAATACCCAAGATGGGTAGCTTAGGGAAGAGACCGGCGCTGGACACAATAAAGCAATGTGGCCTACTTCTTGACACCAGAAGCAACTCATTGTTGTGCATGACCCGCGTAGCTGACGGCTATCTTCTCGTCAAACTGGGCACTCCCTGGCAAGGTGACTCCACCCAGAGCATCTATAACATTGCATACTCTCCCGACGTTTAACATTTGGATGTTTATCAGCTTCGCCTGGTGAAATGGTAGCCACAACCATTTCCTCAGGTGCAATTTGATCTTTCATTATGGCCCGAGCTCAGTCCAACAATTGGTTTGTCTTCATGTCTTCCATCCTAGAAGACTCGCGCAGTAGTTGCTTGACGTGTGCTGGTAACCCTGCTATGAACCCACATGCTAATCCTTGCTACGATATCTCGCCAAATAGACCAGCTAACTTCTTCAAGTCGGCTAGAAACACGTTGACGGACTCGTCCAGGTGCAGTCAGTGTTCCGTGAATTGCTCGAAAGCCAAGAAACGATCTGGTGCAAAGGCAATCTTCAGGGCTCGTTTTATCTGCTCAACATCTAATTTTTGTTCTGAGTTTAACTGCTGGTAAACAGCAAACACTCCGCCTGTCAACCTCAAAGGAAGAACACGTTCGACCTTTTTAATTCCACACAGGTCACGAACAAGTTCAGCCTTTTCAATCCATTCAGTAACTGCTTGTCCGATCACTGAACCATCAAACTCTGGTATCAACTTAACGTCAAATGTCTTGTTTGCCATAGTGGCGAAATAGCTTGTAAGCGATCTGGGATTACAAAGGGAATGTTTGTTGCAGATTATTTCCATGTCACAGAGAATAAATAACTAAGTTCAGACTCGAACATCAGGGGGCAGAAAGAAATGCAGAAAACTCAATTTGTAGGTACTATCTCATGAATCACAATGCACGCAACCAGTCAGAAAAATAACTCCTTCTCTAACAAACACGGTAGCCAAAATACACAAATTTTGCTTCCTCGATTCGAGAACACCAACTGCTTTTATTGGCCGAGCATTTTTTACATTCGTCGACAGCTGGGAGAGGATGTTCAGTATTTTGCATATCAGAATACTTTTATAGCGACTCCTGCGACGGAGTTGTTTTTTAATTCAAATATTCCATCTTCAGCATGCGAATGCAGAATACGTGCCCTTGTGTTTGGTAAGTAATTTTCTTTTTCGCCACATTTTCCATCATAAAATACACGTGATGCGCCGTCACTTGGTTTGGCCAAAAACACAACAGAGATCCTTCCTGAGCAAGGTGAACACATGTACAGTAAGTGGAAATATTTTTGAAGCTTGGCACTTGCTACACCAACTTGGGGATGCTTAAGTGAAACCCACTTGTATCTCAAGGTAAAAAAAAAAAAAAAAAAAAAAAAAAACTCCAGCTTGTATCTCAAAAAACTTGTACGTTGCTATGACCATATCTCAAGGAATTTCTGTAATAAAATTGGAGGATCCAGTGAAGTCAATTAGAAATGTCTAAAAGCATTGAATTTTCCCCTTTTTAAAACTTTTGTTAGATTTAATGAGTTAAATTTCAAATATTGACAAGTTTTAAAGTTTGCAAGTTCAAACTTTAAAATAAAAAAATCCAAAAAAGTCACTGATAAAAAAGGTCGGATAAACAATTTACCTTGAGTTGCTGCTTCAATTGCAGTATTGATAACATCACGGTAGACTGAACAGCCATGATCTTCATGCTACAAAAGCAGAAAAGATACCATTAACGACTCCTTGAAAATAATGATTATTCTAAGAGGATTAAAAAAAATAATCACAAAAATCAAACATCATAAATTTCAGTTAATGTTTATAACATTCATAGAAAAGTGATGATTTTGCTTGAATACATTATTTGTTAATTTAAAACAAAAACTAATATTAATCATAAATACAAAAGAATAGAAAATAGAAGGTAAAAATATTTGCATGGTCATAACAATATAGAAACCCCATATCTAACAGCATTTTAAGGTCTTAGAAAAAAAAAGATAAAATTCTACTAAAGAAATGTTTATTATCTTTTTTAACATTTTTTTTTTCTGTATAGGACATGCACACTTACTATATTAACAGAGAATTAAAACTTCAGAATGTCAATATAAATTGATACTTACCACCACAATTTTGACAATATCCCTCAAAGCTTGGTCCAAAGCTAATTTCTTTTCACTTTCACTAAAACATTAAAAAAAGTACATAGAATTTCTTGTAGGCATAAATACTACTGAGGAAGACAACAAGGCAAATCTATTAGAGAATCCAATGCAAAATGAAGGAACACATTACCAAGCAAACTTTGTTCTAATAATAATAACGAACGCATTGTACATGAGAACAAAAGCAGATTTGGCTTCTATTACCGACCGTTATAGTTTTCAAAACAATTTAGCATTGTCCATGAATTATTTAAGATTTTAAATATTAAACCAATGGGAATGTTTCAAGGTTTTAAATAAAAAAAAAAAAAAACATTTTCTTTTCATGTTTTCTACTAGACAACAATTTAATTTCTGGGTTGTGGAGCTATCATTATTCACATTAGGATTATTGTTCTCATTTCTATTGTTATTAATACAATGTTTCATTCTACACTCAGGATTGAATTATTGAACAATAGCCTAGTGAATTAAAGCATTGGTTTTTGTATTTGGTGACATAGTGATTATGAGTTCAATCTCTGAGCCAAGTAGTGCAGACTTAGAAATGGGGCAAGCAATAAGTGAGCAGTACTAAACAGATGAGAATAAGATATTCATAGACATGATCAGAAGAATGAGAACAATCTATCGAATGTAGATTAAATAAAGAAATCAGCTCAAAATTTCTTCAGGTTATCCAGATTAACAAGCCTGTGATGAAGGCTAGAGAGTGCAAGAGCTGAAACAATGTGATAATAACAAGAAAGATGAGGACAATAATTCCTATGTAAATCACAATGATTTACTTACTTGCCATGATAGTTCTGGACATGAGGAATGCATTCACTGAGTGCCTTTTGGGGGAGAAATCCTTGAAGAGCAACCTAAAAAAAACATCAAAAGAAATTTTGATTGCATCAGACTTGAGAATTATTTAAGAGGAGTTTACAGATAACTTATCTTGTATCAGCAAAATTGTATCTACTGCTTGTTATTGTGTTAAAAGCCTACAGTTTTTTGGAGAATTCCCTGGTGGGTTCGAAGGGATATAAACATATATATTTGATGACTGAGCAAACAGACGTCTCACTCCTTCCCATAAACATTAAAGTTTCATAAATTTGCAATAAATGCACAAAAAAAAAAAAAATAAAATAAAATAAAATAGGAAAAAAAAAAAAAAAATGTTTGTTTTGGACTGGGCCAAATATGGGTGAATTTTCAGTAACATCTGGGGGGGGTCTCAGATGCCATCAAATATGGTAGTTTCACTAAATTTTATGATTGGTAAAATAAAAAATAAAGAATTAACTGAAGACCTGTCACTTTTAATTATTTTAGTCTTCTGATAATTAACTTGGTAGATAAATTAACAATTCCGTCAGTATTTTTAGATGATTTGGGCAACTTTGTACAAACTGAATGATCAGTACTCTTCATCCCTTTCTTCTACCTAAAACAACCTAAAAAAAATAAAAATCCATAATTTACAGCGAATGTTTACGCATAAAATGTATGTATTCTGAAAATGGGGCTTACAAAAAACACATAGGCCAACTTTTCATTAGGTATAACCCACTTAAAAACGATCAAAAAAAATCAATCACTAAGGCTTCCAAACTAAATAGAAATACTCTTCTAATCTGTGAAACAAAAAAAAGAAAAATTTCAGAATTCCCATGGTTTTTGATTTCAATTAAAATATTCCCAAACTTTTCCATATTTTAATAAAAGAATTATGACAGTTCAAATATTACATATTTACTTTTTGCAACAAAGAAACATACACAGATTCCCATCATCGGTTCATTAACCATAATAAACCTTTTAAAGACAATAGCAATTTCCCTGTTGCTGCACATTTCAACCAATCAAATCACATCAGATGTATGCTTTTAGCGACTTCATTTAAGTGCCAACAAGAATGACAAAAGTCTGAGTTAAAATACATTTTCAAAATAGAATTACATATTAAACAGGCTCTCCAGCCAAGAATATTGAAAAACTAGGAAAAAATGAGGAAAAATTAGGAAATTTGAACCGAAACTAGGAATTTTTCAGCCAAACATGCTTTTACCTTTCAAATGATATTAATTACCACAATCATACAGATGTTTTGCTGACATAACACATTCTTTTGCAGCTCTAATTCAGCAACACTGACCCAATTTGAAATGTTTATTTTAAAATATAGGCAAAGAGCAAAATCTTTATACAAAACAATGATGGTATGATAAAAATGCAGTAACATATTAATAAAACATATTTCCATTTTCATGTGACATTACTCTATTAAGTCAAAGATTGAATATTTCAAACAAATAGAAGCAGGGCCATATTCCTTTTATAATGATAAGTATACATTACTTCAGGTTTCATAAAAAACTATTATTGAACACAGTTCCATAATGATAAAATTAAACATAAGGAGACAAGTATATTAAACAAACATATACTTTGTAAAACATATAAAATGAACAGGTACATACAAAGCATCAAGCATTACAGTTGAAGGGGTAGTTTAATAGTCCTTTTTACTTCTTCATAAATGAGTTTATCAATCGCAATCTCTTCTTTCCAATGTCATTTCTATCTTCAACGCATTTTCTAATAGCAGCTATTATCTTCTGAAGATTTGGCTTTGCCACATCCAACAGACCCTGACTAATATTCATTTCTTTGAAATTGTAGACTTAATAGCTTCAGATATTCTTAAATTGGCTTCTTCAAAGATATGATTTGCCTTCTCCATTTCTGTCTTCAGTTCCAATTCACTCTTAACATCTTTCTCCGTTTCATCAAGCTTTAGTTTGGTTTGCTGCTGTTTTTCAATCCTTTCTTTTTCTTCCTGTTTCTAGAGAGCAGCTTCCTTCCTCTCCAGCAATGCCTCCTCTTTCCTTTCAGCTTCTCGCCTTGTTTCATACTTTTGGTGGGCTTGTCTCCCTGCAGCCAGAAGGTCCTTGGTTATGGGGACGTCTGTGACATGCTGGAACATGCTGACAGCATCTCTTGTGAGTCCATTAATTGACTCATCTGACAAACAACATCTCTCAGGAGTGACCAACTTCTTGTTCACAGAAAGGCTCCTTTCTACATCAGCATTCCCATGTGAAATGCAGAGACAGGTCATTACAACTCTCTTCAAATTAGCATACTTGATCTCCCCACTAGCTTTTCTTTAAGCTGAAAATGACATTCCAGTAGTGGTCTATCCTGATCAATTGGCCATCCTTCTACATCCCACTTTCATCCACTTGCTCTGACCTGTATAGTTTCCATTCATCAATGATCTTTGAAACAATGCAATCTTCTATGGAGGTCAATGCTGAGCAGAGTTCTCTGAGGAGCTGTTGGGCTTTGTCTTGGTCCTTAACCTCTGGAGACATTGAACACATCTGATGATTGTGTCATTCAGGAGTAGTTTTATCTGGAGATAGACACTGACCAATTGGTAGAATTTTCTTATGTGATACAATTTCACCTTCTGTTTGCTTTCATCAAGAGCTCCTAAGGTCTTGTCAGTGTCTGCACCTATTTCCATGTCTCCGAGTTTGACTAAATTCTGGTTGTCAAAAGCATCAATGTCTTGAAGCTTTCGTCCTGTTCTGTTCCCAACTATATCATTCTTAACAAATCTGTTGAGGAAGGTTTTCAACAATGTTGATGACTCTTCATACAGGAGATGGATCATTGGCTCTTCTTTCTGGAATTTCTTAAGAAAAGGATCAAACAAAGGTCCAACACATACCAGGAACTGAACCTGTGCAAGGCACTCTTTGCTGGAGAGGAAATAGCATATCCTTTGGTATCTGGTGTTTTTCAGCTGTGCATTGGTGCGATCCTCTGTACTCTTCTTGAGAAGATCTGTTAGGAAGTACTTACAAAGAGGTTTCCAATGTTTGAGAAGACGTTCCAATGTTGATACAAGGGTCAACCACCGACACTGTACATGCCGAATTAAGAACTCTTCATTTAGACCAAGATCCTCTAGAGTAAGGCTGTAGTCCTCCCTTTGACAGATGTGTGTCTTAAACCACTGGAAAATATCAATTGCTAGTTGTTTTCTCTGTAAAAATGAAGTTTTTTTCCTGAAAGAGTTATGCACTATGTGCAGTGTGCATGACACAAAAGGTATCAGTCCTGGCAATTCAGCTGTTTTCAGATGACTTTGTACAGCTTTCCATATTGTTTTATTAACATTTGGACCATCGCTACCTAAGGATATCAGCTGAGATAATGGCATTTCAAATTCATCTTCTGTCACAGCATCTATAATTGCACTACTCACAGTCTCTGCTTTAGCATGTCCGAGCATAAGGCTTTTCAGAAACATGGTATTTACTTCACCTTTTTTTTTTTCATTCCAAAATCGAACAAGCATATCACACTGCTTCTTGTGTTGAGCATTGCCGGTTTCGTCAAATTGGATTGTGAAAGGACATTGTGCTGCTCTTATTTTTTCAGTGATCTCTTTTCAAAAGTACGGTCCAAGTCCATCTGATATCAGGTATCATACCTTTGATTTGCTCATGGTGAACTTGTCAGAGATGGTTCCTGGGAACATTGCCTTGAATTGTCCAACAATACGTTCACAGGATGTGTAGGATTATCCTCCAGCATCAACCTGCATTGTCCACAGTGCTTCTGCTTTTATTACTTGGTCACTGACAGACACCGGATGAAGATACATTTTTTGTTCCACATCTCCTCCTCCTTGCTTGCTGGTACTGGCTACTTGACTGGTTGGCATCAACAATTTCTGCTTGGGATCAGAAAGTTTATCCTTGTTTCTCTGACCATCAGCATGACCAATGAGTTGTATAGCGCCAGTAGTTGAACATGAGATGCTCTTTTTACACAGTACACAAAAAGCCAGCAAAGCTGTTTGAAGAATCCTCTTTACATCAATTAGACAGCAGTTGGCCATTATTATCAAGTTTACTAAACCAAGCATGGTTAAATTTGTTTTTTCCACTAGGCATGATTAGTAATGTTGATAGCTAAGCAAATTACTTTGTTTCTGAAAAGAAAGATAACAAAGATAGGAAAGTGGTTTTAAAGCTAGCATAGTATGAAAGGATTAGATATTTATATAATATCATATATTAAACATGCAAGCCAAGCAGAACTATGATGTATATTATTACTTAAAGGGGGATTACATATTAACACTAAAAATGGATTGGTATCATGCAAACAGGACACAGACAAGTACACAAGCAAAAGCATTTTCACCACCAAACCTATGCTACAGTAACTAAACTGCATCTAGAGATTATATTGTCAAATATTTTAGCATGAAAGCAATTAAGTCCCAATTTTCAATTTCAGATTGATATTTAGTATTTTTTCAGTAATTATAGCAATTTGCAGTGTCAAGAGATTATTTGCAAGAACTAGAATTTAGTATTATGGCTCGTAAAAAAAGAACTAACAATGAATGAAAAGAACTATATAATCAAAGAAATTAGCAAAGGAAAGTCTTTGATTCAAATTTCTAAGGATTTGAAAAGGGATCATTGAACAATCAAGAAAATATGTCAAATAGGAATTCAACCAAGGAAAAAAAAAGTCTCAGGCTGAATTCAGGAATTTAACAAAGCGAGATCTATCACATATCCGAAGAGAATTAATAAGAAACCCAAATGCGTCAAGTGCGTTCATATTTGAGGACACTGGAGCTCCTATGGTGTCAAGGGAAACAAGGTGTAAAGCATTAAGGAAGTTTGCTGATGTAAAAAATCAAATAAAGAAACCCATTTTAAGAAAAAAAAACATAAGGAATGAAGATTGCAGTGGGCAAAAAAATACATGAAAACTGATTTCAGTAAAGTGCTTTTTACAGACAAATCAAGGATCACCCTTGATGGGCCCGAGGATGGAT